TTTTCTGCCTTTCCTGCTGCAGGTGCTGAAACTGTGGGACTGAATTCACTGGGACTGTGAGACTTACCTGTATTTACAGTCAATGAAATAGAAAACTCTCTTTTTTTTACTTCTGGTGATGGAGGACTGAGCATCCCTGCATTCATATATGGCCATTTCAGTTATTTTTGTTTGTGTACTGTTAATGATAGCTATTGTGCCACTCCTTTGCTATTGCAGGGTTAGGCTGTATTGTGCAGTCCTGTTTCTTGTTCACACCCTTGAGAGTTTTGAAGTATAGGCTTACTTGTTAGAATAGTACAGTAATATTAAAGCAGCATGTATTTCGGCTTTTTTTTTTTTTTTCTACTATAAAAGCTATTAACATTCTTTAGAAATACTAATCTCTCTTTGCTCAGACCACTACATGATCTACCTTATTCACTGAAATTCAACTCTGAAGTCTTCTTTTGTGCTTTTAGCAGTATTGTATTGTGTTACAGATACCTAGTTGCTGGTATATACATCAACTGAAGTTACGATGTTCATAAGTCGCAAGACTCTGTATAAATGACTGTGATAAACATTTTCTCTCCTACAGGATATACTCTATCAGGTATCTGCTTTGTTATCTACTGTCATAGCTTAGCAATTGTGAACAAACTGTAACTAAGGCAGTCCTGGGGAACTGCAAAAGGCCAGGGCTGAATTTATTCTTTTTTCAACAGTTTGAAAAAATGTACTTTCAAGCAAACAATTTTTAACATAGGGTTTATACAGCAAGAGTACTTGGAAAACCTACTCCCATGTTTTAACCCAAGTGAAAGAAATGAGACTGACATACAACCTACCTGGTTGTGACTGCTGGGCTGAAAAGGTTGGCCTGCGTTTGCCAGGAGTTATTGGAACAGGATATATTGCACAACTCTATTTTCCCAAAAGACAGGGAGGTATCTGAGCTGATGAGGTCAGGTAGCATTCCATCATGCCACGTCAAACACAACTCTAAAGACCGGCAGAGGTTTTGCCAGCTGACGTCAGGAAGGTCCTTCTGACCAGCCAGCCAATTCTGGTGTCAGAGGAGAGTCCAAATGAGTTCATGCTGCTATTGATTTTGAGTGAGCTACACACCTTGCTGCTTGTGACAAACACTGAACTACAAAACAGAATTAATGTGGGTACAAGTTCCTGTAATTTTCCATTTTCATGTCTCATTTCCAATGGGCAAAAATCTAATACCTTAGAGGGGAAAAGAAGGGGAAAAAGAACTAATGACTCAGATATCTAATGCTCATGTCCTAACAGCTTGAAAAGCTGGTCTAGAGATATGCTTTTTTGTAATTTTTGGTGTATGTTTTATATACTTTCTAGGAGGTAATTTTGGAGGGTATGTCAAGCATTTGGGATTTTGGAGTGTCCTTAGTCAAGAGGTAAACATATCTTCTGTCCAAATAAGTTTAGTTCCAGAGTTTTAAGAAGACATTGGTTTTTGTTTTCCAGAGACAGTCTGCTAGGTGGCAGGGCAGGAGCAAAATCCAGCAATTTAAGACAGATGGCAAGAAAAGAATCAATTATTTTAATAGCCCAGCAACAGTTTTGCAGGTAGAATGACTCTTTTATCAAACTACTCTGGATAAGATGGAGCTTCTTTCTCACTGAAGTCCAAAGCAGTATACTAGTGTAATGTAGGGCAAGAATTCAATCCAAATTATATTTTTCCTAGATTGCTAAATAAAAATTATACATAAACATAGAGGTTTTACATTTGAGAACCTGGATCCTAGTGTTCATCCAAAGCCTTTTGAAAGAGATGTGGTTCAGCAGCTTTCTGGAGATCCACATTAAAACAAACAAAACCCATATAACAAAACCCTTTTAAAGTTTTATGCTGCAAATACATTTTGGAAGCTGAAACCCTTTTTCTCACTGACAATCTGACCTTTCCAAAGACTGTCTATTTGGGTTGCACTGTTGAAATGCAACCGTAAGTCTCTCTATTAGGATGGCAGCTTGTACATGGGAGGGTTTTTTAATCATAATACAATTTACTGTTTAAAAGTCTGACAAATTTCTTCAGATTTTCAGTGTATCACATTATTATGTTTCGATAAATATCTTATAAATAACAAAGGTATTAAGCCAAATCTTGACACTTCTAGGAGCACAAGAACCAAACACCACCTCAGAAAACTTAGTGAATGGAAAGGTTTTGTGTAGCAAGGGTTTGCCACAGTTAATGCCCACTCCAGTCTGAATTTAGTGTTTGTTCAAGCACTTGGAATCTTTTCCATTCAGTTTCTGAAAAACAGAAAGTTGAAAAAAAAAATAATAATCCCTTGTACCACTACTATATATTTGCTTATCACAAAGAATGGGCTTGATTTTGCACCAGATGCAGAGAAATCTCAGACCTACCGAAGTCAATTACAAAACTCCACCTTCAAAGAGGTTAGCATTTCACCCAAATGAAGGGATGTTCTTTGCCTTGTTGCCAAATACTCGGTATTAGTAATTGTAAAGGATATTCCACATCATTACAGGAAACACAGCCATTGTTGTAATTCAGGAAAACTGAATAAATATCTTTTCATATATTTAAAGTAATCTCTACGTCCCATAAGGAAAATCAGATGCAAGTCTGCTGAGAGACAAAACATACAGCAGACAGCTCTGAAAGCAATTGTCTGAGAGACTCAAAGCTCTAAAGGATTTTGCTGGCAGAGCATCCTACAGAAATCAAGTTTAAATCTTTGTATTTAAGATTTGGAAACTAAAGTAATCACTTCCAAATATTTGTTTCCATTTCAGTACTTTTTCCATTACAGATCTAACGTGTGCCATTTTGGACCACGGCTGCTTGGTTTTCCTGCATAAAGAAGAAAATTTAAGTATAATAATCTAATTTCTGAATAATGTCTATTCAGACTGCATGGACCCACTGAGTTTTTTAAAAGCAGAGAGAAGCTAGAATTTCCCATGGGATAGGGAGCATTTTTAAATCATTTAATAATGGAGGAAGTTATTAATATCCTCCCTGCCATTTTTGTACAAGCAATGTGACTTAAAATTGGGATGACGAATTGCATGATTTTCAAAGTGAAGGAAGAAGATCGTTCTGAACAAATGCTACTAGAATTTGAGAAAAGATGTTAATAATTTTGTGTATGAACTGTGATAATCCCTGCATATTTCTAAAGACCTGTAAATTGCTTCATAGTGCTTAGGACTTATTCATGTTTTCTGATAAACTAGTGTTATGGGAGATTTTCTTAGAAAAGACTTGAGTGGGAAATTGGAGAGATTTGGTTTATTTGAACTAGGTACATTCAGAAGTAGAATGCTTTCCTCTTGGACTAACTGGAAAATCTGCTAGTTTTGGATTTGAACGTTGAAGCTAATATTAAAAGTCCATAAAAAGAAAAAAACGGTGTTTGAATGGCCTTCTGGATTACATTGTGTGATTGAGTTGAATCAACTGAATCTTCCAGTTACTTGACTCTGGGTGTCTGCAAACAAGTATTTTCATGTCTGTTTTGCATCCAAATGATAATGACTATTGATCCAAGCAGCTTGACCAATTTATTAAATTGCACATCAAATAGAGCTCCAAACCAAAATCTCTGATCTAACGAGCCCTGAGAAATACATACCCATGCAATCATACAATCATACCATGGGTCACCTACCAGTAATTCGCACATTCTTCTTTTTTTTTTTTTTTTTTTTTTTTTTAATGTCATTCCGTAGCCATTTTAGGATGCAAATGCTCTTGCAAGATGTGTGTGTTGCATGCATGATGGGGACAAGGTGGACAGTTGGGAAACAAGAAAGGGGGAAATGAAAGAAGAAGGTGCTATCCTGTTCCTTGTGTGTAGTTTATGACCTTAAACATAACTGGTCAAAGCTCAGGGAATGCAAAAAGCCTTCTGACTGCAAATCTGCTGTCGCTTACCAGGAAATCCCTTTGCTTTTACCTCAGTATTTTCTTTAATAAGAAACATGGCAAATTGTTCTTAGAGCCTGAGACCCTGGTTGCCCCATTCTTTTAAGAGAATCAATTTTGAAATACTTAAGAGACAACACTAAATGCCTCCTTAACGAATGTCCACTGGCATAGTTTGTTGCATAGTTGAACATCTGTTGCAAAGGTTTATCTGATTTTAAATTACTCCCTTTCAGAATGGTAGCAATCAATTACTGCTAAAAATCCAACTTCTCTTTGTATGCTGTTAATTGCCTGATTTTAATCCTTTTCCTGCAATACGGATTCCTGTTGCCTCAACTGCTTTTGCTTAATTTCTGCTAACAGCAGCCCTTTTCGCAGGCCTGTCTCCCAGAGTTATGGAATGTATAAGTAATGTATATTAATTGCTACAATATTACTTAACTTTTATCAATATTGACAGTAAGTTTCTCTTTTTGCTATCCCTTATTTTGCCTGAACCTTTCACATTCCTCTGTAATTTCTAGTAGTCCACATGGTTTTGCCTTATCAGCAAACGGCACGTTTTTTCCCTTTTCTGCTTAAAACATTTGTTAATGATTTGGCAAGCTGAGAAAGAACGCGTTAGTGGAATAAACACCACATGAGGAAGTAAGGGCTGGTTTCTTCATTTCTGTTTTTCCTTGCCATGAGATAGATACTACTTTGAGAAAGTAAAGTGGTAGCGTTGTATTTTATCAAAAGAATCTTGAACGTATTGTAAGTCCTAAGCCCCTACAGGTCATCGGTTCCTTTTTCTTCTTTTCCAACTTGGTACTTCGAGACGCCACAACCCTCAGAGAGGTGGGTGGTGAGGTCTCGTTTCGTGGCACGGGTAAGAACGCATCCGCGCTCCAGCCTGTTTTCATCCAAGTGGAGGCGGGCAGGAGAGCGGCCCAGCGCTGCCGTGCGCGGCTCTGCGGCAGCCGCGGGCAGGCCGGGAGCGGCGGGCGAGGCCGGTGCCTTCCCTGCCAGCAATCCTGCGCGAGAAGATGGCAGTTACCAGAAAGTGGTAATTCATTCACGCTCTAAGGCTCAGTTTTGGAGTTTTGGAAAGCAGGCATTCTTTATTGCAGCGCCGGACACACAGGGGAGAGCTCCTCCTAATGCGCGTGTCTGAAAACAAAATCAACAAGCATTTATACCACCTTAATCATACATACTCGTTGCATTTTTATCAAAATTTTATCATATTCATAACTTTTCTGGGAACTCATTAGCGTGCGTTCATGTCTCTTGCTCATGTCTGTTGGAGTCTTCAGGTGGCCGCCGGGGGTCTTTAGACAAAGGCTCGTAGCCTGCTTCACTCTGTCCGTCAGTTGACCCTTACTTCTGTGCAAACTCGGTCCTCTGGTCACACAGATCTTGTCCCTCAAGGCTGGCCTGGTCTAGTTTTGTTGCTAATTTGCAGCTTCCTTATCTTTATGTTTCTTTGCACCTGCTACTACCAGGCCGATGGTTAAAAGCGCTTAAATCGATCTTAATAATTCAGTTCCACAAATACCTATTTCCTAATAACCTTAGTTCACAGGTATCAAGGCGACCATCGCTCTCCTCCCCCGCGCGCTGCGCCGCGGGCCGCGGCTGCCGAGCTGGGGCGCGTGGCTCTGCGGCTTAGTGCTGCAGCGCTGAGGCCGGTTAGTTGGAAGAGCTGAAAGGGTCAAGGAGTAGGAAGAACATCCTCGTGGCAGGATCTGCTAAGAGAACCGTTTAGTGGTGGTTCTGTGGCTTTGCCATTCATTCCTCTGCGGGACCCAGACTGCACACTCAGTTGAACTGCTCTGTATTCGCTCACGTTGGGAGGCTGCTTTTTGGCAAGCAGGCTGATGCTAAAAATAAAACTGTGCAAAACAAACAAAAAAAGAACCCTGATAAGTTCACAGCGGGAGTGTGTTGCTTCGGAAAGTACTGTGGTACTTGCATATGCTTTTCAGTGTCAATTCCATGAGAGAAATAATGGAGGGAAGTTTAATAATGTGGTATTTTTGCAACCATCCGTGCAAATCGCCCCCATACAATTGTGCAGCAGTACGCACAGAGTGTAGAATGAAGTTTGGAAGATTCTCAGATATGGATCTTGCCATACTAATAAAATTGTCTTGTTATGAGGATGCCGTTTACTAGACATCATGCTCAGAAAATAAGACAGAGGCGGGGGGGATTCTGCTTTTGTTTATTTGTTCAGAAGATAAAGCCAGTCTATATTTTGTTTTTTTTCTCCTTGTTTTAACTGGAAACGTTGAGGACAGTCTGACCTTCCAAAAGGTGGTGTGCGCTCACGTGTGTGCCTCCTGAGCCTTCGGACACGACTTTCCACAAGTAGAGTCCTGCTGGTACCCAGTGGGGGTGAAAAACGGGTCAGCGACATTTGGTTACTAAATCGATCACGCTTGAAAAAGCGAACGCCTTCAGCGTTCCACTTACCTTCGGGGCTTTGTCCTGGAGCTCCAGCCTCAGGGCTTTTCTCTGCCGTGAGGGCGGGTGGCAACGAATTTCGGCATGAAAGTCCCGGGAGGGGTGGGGGAAGGACGGGGCTGTCTCAGAAACTCTCAGCTGCAGATTTGGTGCCGAGCGGGGCGCCCGGGACACAGACACAGAGACACACAGAGACACAGCCAGACACACAGCCACAGCACACGCACAGACAGACAGACCCACAGACGACACCGCCAGCGGGCACGGCGGCCCCCCGTGTCCCCCCATCCCTCCGCCGGGGGCCATAAAGCTCCCGGCAGCGTTGCTGGCGGCTCCCTCCCTCCCCCGCCCCGTGGTGTCACGGCGGCCGCGGGTGGGAGGAGGACGTGCGTGGCCGCCCGTCGCGGGCCGCCGCTCTTTTCCGTATCGCCCGTCCCGGGAGGTCCCGCCCCCGCCCGCAGCGCCGCGGCCCCGCGGGGAGGCTCCGGGGGGGGGGTGTGGGGTGTGGGGTGTGGGGGGGGTTCGCCCCCCGCCCGGGGCCTGCGGCGGGGGCGCCGGATAAAGCGGTGGCGGCCGGTCCGGCTGCCGCCACAGGGGCGGCCGGGACGGGCCCAGCGGGGGGCCCCGCCATGGCGAGCCCCGCAGGGCCGCGGCAGGAGCGGGCGGAGGAGGAGGAGGAGGAGCGGCGGTTCCGCGGCGCGGCCCCGACGGAGCCCCGCGAAACCGAGCGGGAGGCGGCGGGGGAGCGGCCGCTGCCGCCGGCCCCCGGCCCCGGCGAGCGGCGGGAGGAGGGGGAGGAGGAGGAGGAGGAGGAGGAGGAAGAGGAGGAGGAGGAGGAGGAGGGAGCGGCGGCGGGCGAAGGCTGCTGCAGCAAGTGCAAGAAGCGGGTGCAGTTCGCCGACTCGCTGGGGCTGAGCCTCGCCAGCGTGAAGCACTTCAGCGACGCCGAGGAGCCGCAAGTGCCGCCCGCCGCCCTGTCCCGCCTGCAGAGCCCGCCCGGCGAGGAGCGGGGGCCGCCGCCCGGCGAGGCCCCCCCGCCGCCCGCCCTCCGCCTGCTCCCCGAGTTCCCCGACGGCGGGGAGCCCAGCGCCGAGCGGCTGCGGCGGCAGCGCGTCTGCCTGGAGCGCCTGGGGCGGCCCCCGGCCCCCACCGACGTGCGGGGCACGGTGCAAGTGCAGGGCTGCCCCGGCCCCAAGGAGGTGACGGTGCGTTACACCTTCAACGAGTGGCTTTCCTTCCTGGACGTCCCGGCCGTCCCTTTGCCCCCGGCCCCGCCGGCCGCCGGCGACCCGCCGGCCCAACGCTACGGCTTCACCCTGAGCGTCCCGCCGAGCCTGCGGGAGGGCTCGGCCCTCCACTTCGCCATCCGCTACCGCAGCCCGCAGGGCGAGTACTGGGACAACAACGGCGGCCGCAACTACACGCTGCGCTGCTGCGGGGGCTGCCCCGCCGCCGCCCCCCGCTACTGATGCCGGGGGAGCCGGGGGGACCCGGCCGCGGCCCCCCCGCCCCGAGGCCCGGCCCGGGAGGCGACACCCCGAAATCCGGTGCTTTGTGGAAGTGGGCGCTTCGGTTTTGCCAGCGAAGCATATGGATGTGCGTAGGCTCGCATTGCTGTGGCTTGTGGGATCGTTTTCCCTTTTTTTTTTTTTTTTTTTCCTTTCTTTTGTTTGGCGAGAACGAGGAGCCTGAGTAGCGTGGGCTTTGTTTTTTCCCCTCTTGAAGTGGATTTTTGAGGTCTTGATTTGGGCTTGACTTCACTTACTCGGTTAGTCAGAGATGCACGCAGAACTTGTGTGAAAACTTGGTGGCGTGTTTGCTACAGATTTAACTTAGGATCCTAGTTTTCCCGCTCTCGCAGCCATTTCAAAGACCTAGTATTGTGACATTTTTGTGTGCTATTTTTTTTTAATTTTTATTATTATTTCAGTTCGATGGACTCCATAACAATACAATTCACTGTTGCAAGCACCTGTCAAACTCATGGCAGGCTTGCTTGCCCGTCCCACCTTTGCCGTGCCTGTGGCAGCTCGGAATGACAGGCAGCCTGGATCTGGGGCTGGATCTGGGGCTGGACTGGGCTGCTCTGGTTTTTGTCCTTCAGCACACTTTGATACCGCTCCCTGCCTTCCCCAGGCCTCCGTGCAGATCCCGACTGGCTAGTAGCAGCCAAGAGGGACTTCTGCAAAAATGTTTTTGCTTAAAATAGACTGGTGACTTCTTTTCGCACAATTCGGGACAAAGGAAGAGTTAAAATATTTGCTGATGCTGGGTTTTTCAGGAGAACTTTGGTAACACCTTTGAGTAATGCACTGTGAAGTAAAAGATGGTGTCCGTCTCACACGCAGTTCTGTATTTTCAGATTTGGGGAGCAGTGACTCATTTGGATGACCTTCTTACGGAGGAGTGGCGATGTGATATAGAGAGAGTGTCCTCAGTAATGGATGGAAACAAGTGCCTTAGTTCAGCTCTCCATACGTTACATTTTGCACCACATTTCTCAAGTATTTATAATTTATTCAGCTTATTTTGCTACGTATTTTTCAGTATTTGTATGTCGCTGGGAAAGGGGTTTGTTGTGCACACAGTTGGACTTTATAGCGCTGGACACTCGAAATGATTTCTGTAGTCTTCGCTCCTGCATTGCAAGCCTAGAGCTTGACTACTACTGGTGTCCCGAGTCCTGAAATGGAGCAAAAAGTACCGATGAAAATGGGTTTGTAAGAATAAAAAAAGCTTTAAAAAAGTTAAAAAGCTCACCATTCCAAATCTTTTTTTTTTCCGTATAGCAAAACGTAACAGGATACTTCTCGGTTTTGCCACCTGGTTGTGCCCCATCCCTAAGGCGGTGCGGTGCGGAGGGCCTCAGGCTGGCAGCGTGCCTCACGGTATCCGCGGGTGTTGCCCACGCATAAGCAGCGTGTAGGGCTGTAGCCGAAAATGACTGTTGTCTGGCCAGAGCCCCAAGGCACGTCACCCCTTAAGTCCGTGGCGGCCCCGTGTGCTCCTGTACTGGGCATCTTGTGCAGAGCTGTGATGTGAGGGAGCTTCTCTAGCACGGGTGGAAGGAAGGCTGGTCTCAGCTGAGTTTTCTTCTGGCTCTTCTGCAGCGTTGAGTCTACTTGTTTTCTTTTGATACAGTATCTCAAAATGCAGGACGTTGTCAGAATGCGGAAAATGTTCTGACATGGATGCGTGTTCTTCAGCAAGACCTTGGGAGATTATGTTCCTTTTTAAAACAGAGCGTACTGTGAGTTTTCTCAGGTCTACATTTCCTCTGAAGATGTAAAATAACTTAAAGCCCATTATGAACACCTTATAAAAAGCTGCTTTGTTATAAAATTCCCCATGCTTGAAAATAAGTCTTCAGATATCGTGCCTCTTGAGACAGCTGGTACAGAATCGGCGCTAGAAGTAAGGGATTTACTGGGGAAAAGGCGAAGCAGGGGGAGCTTCAGACTAATCTTCCTGCGGTTTTGCTAACAGACACACTGCTTGTGAAACACAGCCTGGCCTCCCTCCCCCCTAAAAACCCACCCGTAAACCACAGTGTGAGAACATGGCCAAATATAAAGAGGTGCTTAATTCCTTCAGAAACCACCTTGCTGTTAGATTAGTACCAACCGCTTTGAAGAGGCGCAGAGTAAAAGCTCTGTGCACGCAAACAGAAATTAGTTCCTACTGTTGTTTTCCAAGTGACATGTAAACTCTAGCCAAAAATGTGGAAGGTCTTAAGGGAGAATGGGGAAGCCTACTACTTCCCTACACAAGTTCGGTTTTAAACTACCATGCATTACAGGATTACAGGATATTACATGGAATAATCTGGTATGAATTAGCCTTTCTTTAGATAGTTGTGTCAATGAAATAGCGTGCTCTTAAGCTGATATGTGATGCTAACAGCATTAAGATTGATTCTTCCTTTAAATGCAATGTAGTATTTGGGGCTTCTGGAGCCCATTCCTTATCCTGTGTTTATTAATTCTTTCAGAGAAGGAAACTTTGCCAAAAAAAGGGAGGGATGTCTCCTTAAACAGAATTGGAAGGAGTAGCCATATTCTGATGGCCGTGTCTGGGCAGAGGTGTGGAGCTGGTACCTTGAAGAATCCCAGCTAGCTTATTGATAGAAGGCTAGAAACGTTCCCCAGTACGCTGTAAACTATGGGCAAGGGGTATGACACATCAACATCCAGAAAATGTAACGCTTAGGTGTTCTCTTCAGAGGCGTGAGTTGAAATTCAAAATGCAAGAAAGTAACTAAGCAGTAAGTAAGCAACAGTAAGACTAAACAATAAAACGCTTTTGAGTGCTTCAGAAAATTGGCGCCAATATAAAATCCTGCAAATTGTGTTAATTAAAGCACAGCATTTCTGTGCTTTGATAACAGGTAAAATGCTTTTATTTCTTCTTAAGAATTCGTCTTTGTGAGAGAAAAGGGGGAACCTCTCCCAGATGAGAATAAAACATACTCCCTTTTTAACAGACAGTACATTTTTGTACTTTTAAGATTTGATAGAAGCACAGATTTCCAAAGCAGGTTTCAAAGACTGCCTGCACACAGCGCTCCCTGTTTTCATAGATGGGGGTACTGGCGGCTACAGAAATGGAAGGCCTTAACCAAAGGTTACATTGGGCAGCAGTGTGAAAACCAGAACTGGACCGTGCGCGTACCGAATGCTAACAAACAGGCATCAGCAAACTGCAGGGCTGCTGCTTGTGGTCATAGGTTGAGATACGTGGCATAATTGCAACTTTATTCTCAAAGAAATGTATTCAAAATGAAGTAGTTCTAATTCTATGAAATCAAAAGGGCCAACAGTGTAAAACGTTAAAACATTAAGGGAAGCACTCTTCTTGTTTGCTTGCATTACTGTTAATGTAGTATTTTATAAAGATTCAGAGCATAACTTTTGGAGGAGGTGCTCCCTCCCCTAATTTAAGAAATAAGAAAAGATAAAGAGTTGTTAGCAGTCTCAGAAAAACTCCAGCTCTGAAGATTTTCATTTTATGCAGATTTCTGTGCCCATGGATTAAGGGCTTAGGGGAGAAATAGCTGCCAGATGGTTTTATAGGTGTATATAAAACCAAAAAGTTTAATATAGTTGAAACTCTGTAGTGGTTAACCGTGAAGGACATCAAAGTTAAATCTTCCTTAAGCAATCTTTTGCTGCTTACACTTAAATTCAGAATTAAATGATTCAGAAAAGGACCGTGAAACTGAATTTACTTTGGTGTCATGAAGAACTGCAAACTTGCATGCAAACTACTTCTATTTTATTTAAAGCCGGGGCTTTCAGTCAGTACTTGAAAAGCCTGGCTTCTGCTCCCATTGGCTTCCCTGGGATTTGGACCCAGCCCAAAGCGCTGCAGGAAGGTAGGGGAAATGATCTTGGTTTAATTGTCTGTTCTGTTCGGAGCCTTGTGTTATGGGGTTAGGATAGCATGGCACTGTGATGAATGTTCATTTGTCAAGAGTTCAAAATCTGCTGTGTGTGTGGCAGTAATTAAATCACCTTAATGGTTGTTCATTATTCTTTTTAAGAGAGGGAAAAATAGTTGCCTTGGATTAGCATATTGCCAAAGACTGGTATAAATATTAATGGGGTGCACTCTTTCAATAGCAAGCCTGTACATTCTTCACAGGTCTCCATAGTTCTACTCTGAACACAGAAGAGTAGTCATTCAAATGCACTACTTACCATCGCTTCTCCCTGTAGTAAAGCTTCAGTAGATACTGGGTTTAACAGTAAAAAAGGTAAGTAATATGGAAAGCAGCATCTCCTGCAACACATTGGTGATACTTAATTTCCTCTGTAAGCTGCAGAATCCTTTGAAGGTGTGTATGTTTGTGGAACAGGTTTGAGAGTTTTGAATTTTCCCTCTTAAAATACACAGTGTTGTAAAAATACACAGCATTGGATGAATTACTGGCTTCTCTCTCTTTTTCCTGCTTTCACATGAAGGGCTTACGCACTATTCTTATATTCTAAAATACTGAAAAAAGTAAGAATGTAAATTCTCAGTAAGAGATACACACCTTTTTTTTTTTTGTTTTTCCTATAAATGTCATCAAGCAAAACATTCCTAAGAGCATGAAATAATTATGCCTGTGTTAAGAGCCGTGGAACAAAGCGATCAGTATACTCCTGGCTTGAATAATGCCAGGATTTCACTGTAGATCGTTATGGAAAACTCAGGAAAACAGGCAGTGCACAGCTCTTTCATGGCTCTGTGAACGTGTACGTATGGTCTGTGCTGGGTATCTGGAGAGATGCATTTATGTTGCATTACAGGAAGTAAAAGCTGAGGGGCTGGTGTTTCTCCATAAAATGATTCTTCTACCTGCCGATGTTAAGAGGGTGAAAGTAATGCTTTTAAATCCCTGGAAACTTGGTGAAGTTTTATATAGAAACACCTTTCTAGAAATGCAAGTAGTAAGTTAAAATCCTTCTTGGCCTATTCCAACATGGTTTCTAAAGTGCTCACAAGTTACTGCTCACTTGAGCTGCTTTCCACCAGGACAGCTGTACCCCCGTAACGTCTGGGCATTTTGAAACTGAGCTTCCAATTGCAGTAAAATCTCTGAGAAGTTGTAACACACAACAGAAGCGCCTGTCCTTTAAACAGTTACTAATATTGAACAAATTGTTCTTTTTTCTTCTTTCAGAGTGCTGTTTCCAAGTTTATGCTGTCAAAGTCATGACAAACTTCAGTATATGTAAACATTCAGATTTCGGTGCATACTGCTGAAGTTAATAGTTTGCTAAAATTTTGAGATCAGGAAGAGACGAACATTTTTAATATAATACAAAAGCAAGCCTGTTTTGCTAAGACACTGTAGCTTTATTAAAGATATTTGTTGAGCTCCCTTCTATTCTAAGGAAAAAGGATATACTTTTTGTAATAGTGGACATTGTACCTAAGTCATGGGATCACTCCTTTGTGTTTTAACTATTCCTGTTGTTTACACTGCTTTGACAAACTCCAACAAAGCTCCTGACAGCGTGCCAAGAGAGAGATTCAATGAGTACTGCAACGTAAACGGAACTGGTGAAGCGCAGCAGGTGCAGCTGCCGGAGCGCAGCAGCCCCGCGGCTGGAGCCGGCGCCCGCTCAGCAGCCTGCCGCCCCGACCCGCGCGGGGGCACCGGGCGGCCAGCGGCGCCACCGGGGCAACCGCCCGCCAGCGGGACCCCAAAGTCGTCCCTGCCTGCAGCTGTGATTCCTGCGCTGGCCTTCCCAAGCCCCACGTGGCTTCTTGGTATTGTCCTTCCGTAGTTCGTAGGATTTAAATGAGAAGGCACTTGGTAAGCTATGTTTTTATACAGAACTGAGCATGTTAGGACAAAACCACGTAAAATGGACATTAGGCAAGGAGAAAGTACTATTTCTAGGTCTCTTCCAATCACGGACAGCTGACACGCACATAACTAACCGTGGTGAGGAAAGGAAGCACGCAGATCTGTCCAAACCAGAGAGGGAACAGACAACTAAAATGCAGTGATTGTGTTGGGTTTGAGCAGTAAATGCCAATACCTTTGCACTTTTGTTAACAAGTTAGATAGCATTCCACAGCCTTTTGCTCCTCAGCAGTAGAACTTTTCTTACGTTACTTCTCAGAAGCAGCCTACAAATACGGTGTGGTAAACTGATGTTTAATTTGGAGTAAGAACTAATTTTTCCTTGACTGAGAAAACAAGCTGTCTTAACTGCTGCACTACAGATTGGGGAGAGAGAGAAATTACAGAGCCTGATTTTTTTTTTTTCGTATTTTTCTTGATGGGTCCTCTCCGTAGAATATATCCTGAAGGTTACTACTGCTCCTTTGCAGGTATAAATAGCTAAGGGAGAGATAATCTGAGTGATAACCTTGAGACAGAAAGTAGGAGCAGATGGCTTAGGAGTGCATTATTGTTGTACCTACCACCAAAACTTAATAGAATTTTCAGGTGTCAATGGAGAAATAATCTTCTTCATACTATTGAGGGAATTAATAAGAAATTTCACATTTTCATGACTGCGTGCCTGTATGACAGCATGTACCATCTATAGCTGTATTCTTGTTGGAAACAACAATAAAGAACTTCACTGGAAAGGTAGTGGTATTCTGGAAGAAATTATTATGTATTGCAAGGGCCTCTATTTGAAAACAAACTTTTTTTTTTTTTTTGTAAACATGGTGAAAACTTAAAAATGTTACTGATGGAGTTGTCCCTCTTTATAATAAGTTAGGGCTACACTATTCATAAGGATGTTTATTTTGTTTCCTACCATAAATTCTCAGATCTTGAAATGGTATGCAGTGCTTGTTCCAGTAATTAAGCTGTCTGAAACAAGGATTTTGCATGTACTGTTTTGGGGACCAAGTTCCTTAGAGTATGAAACTGGCAGCTCTTCCAAGCCTGTGTCCTCTAAAAGCAGAAGATGTTACTACATTTCACTGGAAGCTTAAATAGTAATCAAACCTTTCTTTCCCTACACATTCACCATTAAGCGCACTTAATTATCCAGTTGTGAATGTGGAGATTTAAAATACAGAATATAATGTATTCTACCTATTAGAATAATTAAATTCTTTCTTAGCAAAATGCTCACTAGAAGCAATTTACATTGCAATACTCATACACCTAATAAGAGGAGAATTATTACTGTATTTGCCTTTTATTTGAAAGTGGGAATGGAGGCTACATTTGTAGTCTCAGGTAGTCACAGTACCTTATTCTGTACACTGTATTGGGAATGGGGTGCATTACTATACATTTCAATCTAACTGTACAAAATTACAAAATACACTTTAAATGGTAGCGAGGAATGGGAGTTTGTTCTAAATATGTCTATCCTCTGCTTTAATAATGTTCTCAACACAGCATGAACAATGCAAAACAACAGAAGTTCTAAACAGAGATGAATTTTGGGAAGCAAGAAAAATAAGGGGAGGTATTTAAAGGCCCCTGTGTCATGGAACTATGTTCTGAGTTTCTGTTCTTAAAAACACCCACAACAATCCCCTGGAAAAAAAATGAAGCTTTTTCCTGTATGCCATTAAAAAAACTTTGCACTGCTTAATTCTTCTGCAAATTTCTAATAGAAAACAATTTCAAGCACAGCAATGACTTGAAAAGAACAAGATCAAACTTTTTGCCTGCTTTTCTTTAACATACTGTCTTCAAAGTGTTGACTATTCTACAGATTTAATAATAACCAGTAAAACGCTATACCGAGTGTTCCACTTTTGCTAGGCAAAGCTTGCCATCAGTGCATGACCTACAGCACCTGAGTCATTGTAGCAGGTAGGTTCTTTTTCTCCTGCAAAATGCAGGAGCTTTGTGAAAAAGGGAAACCTTGCATAAAGTGATGCGGTGCCGGTGCTTTCTGCTAGTAGCTGCATCTCAGCAAATTTAGAAGAGGACTTGGTGGTGAAAATATGTTTTAAAGTTCCCAAATCTTGGTGATGCAAGTCTTACATTCTGCTTTTCTGATCTGGTAATTGCTAAAAGGATTATTAACTCTTGGAAACTAAAGAAAGAACTAGTGAAATTTTTATGTCACCTCGTGAAATATCAAAGGATGCTCTTGAAAGAAACCACACAATGCAGCTTGTGATATTTGTAAATATCAAGGTCCAGGAGATGTAAACTCTGTTCATCTCTGGTTTTAGTATTTAAAATGAACTACGTATTTAGTAATTTAATTTAGATGCTGTATAGTTTTAAATGAAATGGGATCAATAAGAACTTAAGTCTTAGTAACTGGGTGAGGGGTTTTAAATCTAACACATCTTTTGTGCTCAGTGAGAGAGAAGGTCAGCAGCAGAATAATGTATCTGGTTACAGGTAGTTTAATCAAATTTTATTGTCAAAGCAGGGCAGGAACTATTCCATCACATGGGACATACAGCACACAGATTTTGAGACTACCTTACTTGCTCTTATAAATCACAGCAATATACTTTAGAACATGTGAACCATTAGAAAATAGAACTTTGGTTGCCAAAAACTGAGTCTCTCAGGCATTTCTTCTGCTGAACAGAAAAGCTCAGACATGTGCGGTGAGTTTACACATCTATATGTGGCACTGTGGGATGCTGAAGATGGTCCAGTGTTGCTCCAGGATCAGAATCTTCTCATAGCTATGTGTTTCCTGGACTCTCAATAACCAATTTCTGCGTGGAATACAGCTGGCCAATAGTAACCTGAAATCAAAACAAAATATCAGAAAGCTGAAACTGGAAAGTAAGCAGGTTATAATTTCAGTTTCACAAGAGATTAAAAAAACCCCAAGATCTGAGTAGCCCATATATTAAGCTTTTTCGTAAGAGGTTTTTCTTTCTATAAGCATTTTTTTGGTAAACAATACTGTTATCAGCCTAGACCCTAAGAAAAATAACCAATACATAAAATATCTGCATGTACAAAATTTAGAAATAATGACATTGAGGAATACTGTTCAAAAGCTCATATTGAAAGTTAACATTAGAAGTTACCACAGAGGAAAAGCAAACTGGCTGTACATTTAGAAAAATTAAAAGACGGATATAGTCAGCAGATATTTCTTGTTATGCTTTTTGGATGGGAAGCCTATCTATAAATTGCATGGTGTGGTACTGTTTACCAGTTCCTTTGGAACCCTAATTTAATTTGCCTTACAAATGGTGAAAACTATTACACAGTTAGTTCAGCAGTAACATTTTACACACAGTGGAACTGACCTCTTATTCATGAGATGCTATTCACACCTCATATACTTCTGCTTTCTAGTGCAACGAGGAAATGAGAAATGACAGAAATGTAACACTGATGCTTTGATCCCTCTTGCTCTTTATTTTCTAGTCTGCATCGTAACATTGGTAAACTGTCATCAGACGCGCAGCTGGTCGTAACACACAGTTCTTCACAGTGCAGATGTGGAAAGAAGAAATTTCATGCAAGTAGGGTAATATAAGCAGGAGAAGACAAAAGTATGAATTTCGGAGTCTAATTTTTAATATCTATTATGCCCTTTCTCATCCCTACTTTCTCCCCAAGGCCTGGTTACACAGTAGCTCTGTGTTCTTTTCACAAAAAAAAAAAAAGTTCATATATTTAATTATGGAATTAGGACAAAAAAGGCTAGATGCTTAATTACACTAAGCACAATAAATTTAGTAGAATTTAACAGTGCACAAACTAAGCCTGACAGCAAGTCAGGCTCTGAAAGCAGTAAGAAATTAGGGAGATAAATTTTTCAGCACTTTTCATTTACCATTTTTGAGGGGAAAAAGTCCTGGCAGGTCTTAAATAAAAATTTCTCATCTATGTCCACGCTCACATAAAACGTAAATAATATTGCCTTTTAGGAAATGAACTATTTCATCTTGATAAACAGCCATGTCTGAAGCTTGTAATGCATTGATTTTAATCTTGAAATATCTACTACAAGGGAGCATTTATGAGCCATTCTTAAAGGAACAGAAGTTCTCCTTGCCAGCAAATATTCCCCTCTTTTGGCACTATGTTAGTAACAGCATGTGAACAACTCTGATTATTTTTGAAATTACTTATGAAGTATGTTGCACACAGAATATTTAAAAGAAAGGCTGTACACAACTGTGGCATGTGTTACCAAAATAAATTTTAAGCTGTCAACAAGTGTTACTTATCAAAGAGAACTCGCTGCTCTGGTTTATGTGGCAGGCTGTACACTTTAGTTGCTGCCTTACCACAAACCATGCTGTAGTACTTAATTTTTGTATACTGTGTTTCGGAGCCCAACGAATCTTTAATCCTTTCCCACACAGTACAGCAAATTTAATGGGAGGCTCAGAGGGATTACAAAAATGCTGAAACCTGAATTGCGTTTTTTTTTTTTTTTTTTTTTTTTTTTTCTCCACCAACTGGGGAGGTAGATGAGGCTGAGTACGTGACTTCCCAGTCAATCACATTCAGCCAGGGCAGATGGCTTTGTAGGAAAAAGGTACGAGCTGTTGTTTGCTGTCCCTGTGCCAACAGGTGATATTATCTACTGCTGTACCTCTTGATTCCAACGCAGTAAAATCATAGATGTGTGTGTGTTGGGCTGTTTCCTTAGTAAACCACGGGCGTGCACACACTGCAGCAAGCGCACAGCCACCACTGCTGTGCTGTCTGCCTTTGCTGGGCTGCTGCAGCTTGCCTGCTCGGGCTCCTCCCTTCCATGACATTTTAAGCTGAACTTTGAAACTTAAGGATTTTTTTTTTTTTTTTTTTTTTTTTTATAAGCCATTAGCTTTGAATTTCTAACATTATGATCAAGCTTTTCCCATGCACTTTAGACAAAACAAATGGGCCTTCCATTTATAGCTGCTGCAAAATTCACATCTATAAACATCCAGTGCCTCAGCAGAAGGACTGTACCGGTATTTACACGCTGACACTCATTCAGCCCCTGAATCAAACCAGTGTTCTTACAATATCTGCGCTGATGCTAAGTCTAAAGAAAGCACTTAAGCAGCAAGCATTGCTGCAGATCATTCTCCCAAATTAAAGACTAAGTGGCAATATATTTTCTTTTTTCATCACGTGTGTTTGTGGCTTGTACACCGCGTGCCATTTACTCTCCTGGTAGGTGGCCAGAAGCCGGTGCACAGGTCAGTGTCAGGGTATTTTCATCAATCACAGGAAGCTGTTGTGGAAAACAGCTCTACCATTCATTCAGCAACTTGGTTACCCAGCGTTTGATTTACCTCTGTAAGGTAACACACTGCAATTAAATTCTGCAGGAAAGAATGCACAATAAAGAACCACTTTGTCATCAGGAGAAGACAATAAATAAAGGCTGCTTTTCAGATCTTACTGAATTATTCAATGTTTAAATTCTACCTGCAAAATTATGTACTTTAAAAATAAGTCTGATGAGTCCAACCCTCAAAACCTGACAATCTGTCCCTTTTCAAAGATTTAGTACAAGCCTATATGGTCAGCTTTTTCTTATCAATTTGAAAAACTTAATCTTGCCTTCCATCTGAATCTAGGAGAAGACTCAGAGTTTCAGAATGGGATTTATTGGCAGTTGTAAGTGAGGCAACAAATGGGGAAAAAGAAATTACTGAACAGTAAGCACTGGTCCATCCTGCAATTC